GGAATTTATTAACAGACAGACAGGTCCTTGGCAGCAATCCAGCCTGCCAAGCTAACACCAAAGTTCTCCAACAGTAGTTAATGTGTTGACTTCTGCAAAAGAGGCGTGTGCACAAGCATTCCTTTTATAGTCTGGAGAGGAGCCTAATTACCACCAGCTGAGTGCAATTACCTCCTGTAACTGTGCAACTGTTCTTTACGCCTATTAGCTCTCTGGTGCCGGGCATCTAGGAACAACTCCCTTGGCTCCTCCCCACTGATGTCCAGATCACACTCCCTTGTCTCCTCCCCACTGGTCTAAGGCTTAGGTGCCTCCTGGTGGCCAACCAGCCTCTCTGCGCCCTGCTAGGAGTCAGAACCCTGTCCAGGGTCCTCCACATCCTCCAAAGCCGACTCATAGGGCCCCTCGCTGTCGGAGTCTGGTGGCAGCTCCAGCGGCTCCTGCTGGGCCACAACAGCTACCCCCCTTGCCTTTTAACATAAAGCAGCTGAGCAAGTGGAGTAGCACATGAGTTACTTTTCAGACCACTGAACATTTTAATTTTTTAAAAAATATTCCCAGCACCCTTGATCAAGAGGCCATCATGTTTCCTGGAACACAGTTTGAAAAACTCCTGAGCAGGGTTGCCTTCTTGATAGCACACCCCTTGTGAGATGTGATACCATTCCACTGATCTGATTAGCAGTTTGACTATCTAGATGAGTCTTTCAGAATCTCAACAAAGTTCCATAGACTTCACCTCCCAGAATTCCTCATGCTGGCTGGGAATTGTGGGGGTTGAAGTCCATGATTTCTAAAGTTGCAAAACATACGGGCAGAAGGTGTCACAAAGAACAAGGGATTCAGAATAAGAGCTGAGGAGAGGCTATCTTTCTCCTTTTTGATATCTCCATTTCAACAAGGGAGCCTGACCACCATCTCACCCATAATGATCGCTAGGCTAGTTTTATCATTTTATTTTATTCATATGAAATCTTTTAAATCCAGATTGCAATTGTAATGCTATATCAGCCTCTTTGGGGAATTAAAAACAAACATAGAAAGAAATGAATTAGCTCATCCTTCAATAAATTTTAACTGTTTTCCTATTTTTTTTCCTTTCTTCCGTCACAAGAATATTATTTCTTTTTGGAGGGCGCAGGGGGTGGGGGGTGGGGTGTTTAAAATTTTGTTTTCCAGTACCTTTGCTTATTCCCTAGCACATGAAATGTCCTACCTAGCAATCAATGTGTACTAATTCAGAAGTGTACTACAATCCTTAAGAGAACTTAAGAGGTTTGCAAGTGCCACTCAGTAACCCCTTCAATGACTCTGTGTGAAGGGACTCACTATATTCATTCCATAGCTGAGAGGCTAGAGGAGAAAGTGCTAATTCCCCGAGGATCCAAAGGAATAATGAATAAGTAGCAAGTGAGGTGACAGTCCGGGAAATGTTCTTTATTTCAAAGGGAGGTTCTCCAGAAGAACAACCCTCTTTTGCTCCTCTGGACTTTGCTCTTCCAGCTGCCTTTTACAAGGAGCTTCCCTTATGAATGGAACCTTCCCTGCTTTAGCCCTATAGCACCTCCCTGATCTAATTATAGAACTGACTCTTTCAGGGAGTTCATGTGCTATTGAATGAAGGGATATGCAAAGTTTGTATAACTCAGAATAAACAGTTTCTTATGACAATGCTGTTGCACGTGGAGAAAACTCAGTAAAACCCATCACTTACATTTCTGGTGGAGTGCCTTTTTCAGTTCATATAAAAGTATTATGACCCAGTTTGATCATGCAGGGATGGTGTGGACCAATCTGGCATTGCTCTTCGGGGTGCATTATTTGCGGTGGCTCATTCATTCACAAAGGGAAGGGGGTGACATAGTCATTATAAAACAATGAACACAGGCCTATGACCCTTGGATGTGAAGAATTGACATTTGCTATCATTACACAACACAATCTTGGGAAATGGTCTTCTTTTCTTCCTCTTTTGCATTTTTCTCATTTTTCCCCCTTTTCCAATTGGTGCATAAAGCACAGCAGGAAATATGGATGTCAGTTTTATTTTGCTCCTTATATATTTGTGGAAACCTAAGACATGTACTCATAATTTCTTCTTCGCTTCTGCATTTCTCTGAGCTGAAATGCTGCATTTATTTTTGTGAGCTCTTCTAACAACTGTGAACACTGAGCTTTGTATTGGCAAGGTAAAGCAGGCCAGAGGACCAGAGGTGGGTTCCTACCAGTTCGCACCTATTCAGTAGAACCGGTTCGTCAAATCTACTGAACCGGTTAGAAGAGGTTCCACCAGTGGACCCGGAAAGCAGGCCACACCTACAGAAGAGCTTCCAAAAATTTTTGAAACCCACCACTGGCACACAGACACACACACACAGACTTACACAGAGAGAGAAAGAGGAAGGAAGGAAGGAAGGAAGGAAGGAAGGAAGAATGAGAAAGAAAGAAAGAAAGAAAGAAAAAGGGAGGGAGGGAGCGAGAGAGAGAAAGAAAGAAAGAAAAAGAAGGAAGGAAGGAAGAAAGAGAAAGAAAGAAAGAAAGAAAGAAAAAGGGAGGGAGGGAGCGAGAGAGAGAAAGAAAGAAAGAAAAAGAAGGAAGGAAGGAAGAAAGAGAAAG